GACAGGGGCCATAAACATTGACGAAGACTTATTAAATTGTAAACAATAGTTACCTGCGTTCTCTTCATTAACCTGTTTTTTATGCTCCATATTTATAAAGTGATCGTTAAAAGTTTGAGGTTTGAAAAATTTCATAGACCATACTACTGTATGTCTCTTATTCATATGGGACTTCAAGTCATAACTCTGCTATCATAATGCTTATGCATCATAGAGACCTTCTATATTAATGCTTTGGTTCGTCAGACCTTACTATGTTAAGTCCCTAATATAGGACTAGTCATTGTGCAACCTTAGTACTAGCAGTCAGTCAGCCGACCACCCCATATATATGTACAACCTTGGGTATGTGTCTCCGACAACGCCCCAATATAAGGGAACATTACAAGAACACGTTCATTAACTTAGAAATTTTCCAATTATTACACGAACACCTTCATCAACTTAGAAAATTTTAATCCATTTTTTCTATTATATTACAAATGTTATTTATCTTTGTTATTGCAATATAATCGCCTTGTATTTATATGATTTGATATATTTTGAACATTTTAAGCAGGTTTTTAATAAATTTAGAGATTTTTTGAGACATTTTATGCGTTTACTAATATATATAATATTCAATATTCCAAATGGATATTTTTGAACTATATGCTTATTATTTGCATTTTATTGTTTAAATTATAATTTCTATGACATTTTTAAATGTCTGTATAATGAATTTAATTATTATTTATTAATAATAATTATGAGGCGTCACAATATGCAGAAGAAACATCGTTGGTGAAAGCACGCAGCCTTGTGGAACACCAGCGTTAATGGGCTTGTAATCGGAACATGCACCGTCTACTACGACCTTGATGCTCCGATCTGTAAGAAAACTGGTGATCCAATTGCACAATTTCTCAGGAAGCCCATAGTAAGGCAGCTTCGAAAGAAGCGCTTTGTGACCAACGCCTTCCACTTGGACTCCACTGCCTCCGCCCATCCATAGATGGGCGGAGGCAGTGGAGTCCAAGTTAGGTAACCTAGAAGTAAAAAAAAAAGTAAAAGTCATAAGTTAGGTAACCTAGAAGATCACCAGCTGAGCGACCTCGACGGAAACCGTACTGGCGGTCACTAATCAGCTGGTGATCCTCAAGGTACCGCATGAGCTGGCTGTTAATAATGGTTTCCATTATTTTGGAGAACAAGGAGGTGATAGCAATAGGCCTGTAGTTGGACGAATCTGAGCGGTCGCCTTTTTTAGGGATCGGGTGCACCAAAGCTGTTTTCCATGATTTCGGGACTACGCCTAGGGAGTAGAAGTACCAAAAAAGACGCGTTAAAACCGGTGGCAATTCCGGAGCACATGTCTTCAGCACATTAGTTGGGACTCCACAGGCCCACTCGACTTGTTAACGTCCAGGGAGAGGAGTTCTTTACGCACCAAGCGCTGTGTAAACAGCACTTCCAGCATGGAGCACTCACATCGCGGGATGGTCGGCGGTGTGTTCCCCCCTTCGAATCGATCTAGACTCGAGTTGGAAGCAAAAAGAGAGCCTAGCAGATCGGCTTTCTCCTTTGCGTCATGGGCCAGTGAGTCGTCCACCCTGTGCAGAGATGGCAGAGATGGCTGACAGAAGTTCCCTTGGACAGCCTTGGCGAGAGACCAGAATGCACGTGTTCCCGAAGGGAGGCGAACTAGTTTCTCGCCAATTCTGCCGATGTGCTCTGAATTTGCCTTGGCAATGACACTTTTGAAGGATCTGGAGGCGGAATTATACTTCTTTTTAAGAGCGCTGGTGTTTACATCCCGGGACGTTGATGCGTCAGCCCAGGCCTGGTAGCACTCCTGCTTATAGCGTGATACTATTTGACAGGAGCGACCAAACCATGGCTGGGACCTGCCTCCAATGGGCACGACAGAGGATAGAATAAAAAGTTCCATACCCTGAAGTACCACATCATCAACAGAATCGGCAACAATGCTGGGATCTTCCGGCGAGAAGCAAACCCGCCCCCAAGGGTAGGATGCAAAAAAAGACCGCATCCCGTCCCAATCGGCCGACCTATAGTGCCAAACACGCCGGCAAGCTGCAGATCGCAACTGCGATGGGAGCGTGAGTGGCACCGTACTCCGGATCAGACAATGGTCGGAAGAGCCCAGAGGGGCATCGACGGAGACCTGATATCCGTCCGGATGAGAGATCAGCAGAAGGTCCAACACGGAAGGTACATCATCCTCCACATCTGAGATCCGCGTAGGCGAAGTAACCAGTTGTGTTAGACCATATGCCAAAGCAAAGTCAAAGACAGATCTACCCGCATGATCGTTAAACGAGAACCAACCCATTCAGCGTGGTGGGCGTTAAAATCACCGAGTATCACGATCTCTGCGGATGGCACCTGTTGTAGCACGATTTCGTTCTGTAGGTTCTTTAATACGTTGTTCATCACCCTCTGGAAGGTTGATGGACTATTCTTCAGGCCCATTAGCATCCCGAGAAATTCATAATGTCCATTCTCTACATTAAAAGAAGTTTTGTGGATATCCACAGAATCCATTTCTACCTGATATAATCCACTGGCTGAATCGAGCGTGATAAAATACTGACATTTCCCCTTTTTTTTAGCACATCGGAGTAGTGTAGTTGTACCACTTCTAGACCACCTGAGTCAGACGTGGTTCAACGACGTTCGTCGACGCCCGATCCTAAAAAAAAAAAAAAAAAAAAAAAAGTTTTCATTCTATCAACATTCCAGTTCCATCTTTTACAATTCCTTTTTAAAAACTCTAGATGATATCGTACAGGTGATCGTGCATATGAATCAAAATATTGACCGACGTCATTCGTATCGATATATAAAGCTACCCAATGTGACCCTGGTTTATCATCTGTATCCAAATTACATATTATATACGTTGGTACGTGGGTATACATAGGCAGTCTATTAGCTGCATAAACATTATTTTCTAGACTGGGGTGAATCTTTTTCAGATGTTGTTGTACATCTAGTGTATCCATGATATTACTGCTATTAGTAGATTATTACAGTACCTAGCTACTCAATGAATAACATAGGAATGGTCAATTATAGTGATTTCTACATATTAAATTGCATTTTTGTGTTATACAAATCGTACTTGAGTCATTGATCACCAAACAAAACACAATACGAAGAAATGTTGAGATAGGCAACGGAAATGTGAGATAAACTGATATGTTTCTAAATATTAAATTGCATTTTTGTGTTATACAAATCGTACTTGAGTCATTGATCACCAAACAAAACACAATACGAAGAAATGTTGAGATAGGCAACGGAAATGTGAGATAAACTGGTTGACGCATAAAGTAATTATCAACTCATTACGGAAATACTTTAGATTAGAATTTTTACGTACTGGTGGTATATAAGACCAACAAACGCAGTCATCGAGTTAGTGTACGGTCGTTTGGCTACAGTGGATCTATCAATAGTACATTTGTGTTACTTCAATACACCAAAGGCTATGGATGTAAGTGTTTATTCTATTGACTAAATTACTTTTTTTCTGTTATTTTCATGTGTGTGTGTATTATTTTATTTAAATATTGTGTATGTATATGATTAAGCCGTGGTAACTCAGATGGTTAGCGCTAGCTGTAAATTTCACAGTACGCGACCCGGGTTCGTTCCCCGCCAGCACCAATTAAATTGTTAATAGCAATTTTAAGTGCTTATTACCACGTGCTTGGTGGTGAAGGAAAACATCGTGAGGAAACCTGCATGTCTGAGAAAATTTCGAAGGCATGTGAAGTTCGCCAACACACATTGAGGGAGCGCGGCGGACATTTCCTTGCTCTAAAACCCTCTCAGAAATGAGAGGAGGCCTATGTTCAGCAGTGGACTTTAATAGGCTGTAACTTTAACTTTTTTAACTTTTATGATTAAGTGTTAACAAATTGATATTAACATGATAACTGTGTTGTTGCAGAAATCATTGAGCTTCGATGAAGATACCTATAAACAGTATTACTACTCGCCACTCTCCCCTCAAGAAGAGAGTGATGACCTCGTCATTAATAATAACACATGCGATGGTGGAAAAAGAAAATCGCAATCGATTGATCATTTTTTTGAAGCTGAATCAAAAATAAAAAAGAGGAAGGTGTTATCATCAACCGTAGCACGAGCCGCTAGAGATGGTGTATCATACATTTCTACTAATTCTGACGACGGAGACCAAGCGACGCATCTCATCAAAATTGAAATGTACGATATGAAGAAGCTATCCAAGATTCCAACTACTGATCATTGGAAACATGCTTCCACGAGAATTAAATATTACGTAAAGACTAATAAGGATAGCATCTACGACAACACAAACGCCCTCGTATACAATATAACAAAGACAATAGCAGAAAGTGAAAAAGTTAAAAAATACTTTTTTAACAATGACAGTCATTAGCTGATCATTAGTGAATGTGATTCTGTTTACTTCAATTACAGGAAGACAAGAGCGGAAGGAAGAGATGAGTGTGGCATACGTGTACAAAACACATCATTGAATAACAAAACTACAACACTGAGTGGAGAAGAAAACGAGAAGAGTATGCAGTACTCAAGAGCTGAATATCCATTCTTCAGTTCAAAATCTAGCCGTTTGCTTAGTTTCGAAAACTGGCCTCTAGTTATGCGACAGAAACCTGAAGATCTTGCCGAAGCTCGTTTCTTTTATACTGGCCATGCAGACGGGACCAATTGTTTCCATTGTGGTGGTGGTTTAAAAGATTGGGAAGATGATGATGATCCTTGGCAGCAGCATGTTCAGTGGTTTAGTCAGTGTGCTTATGTAAAATTTCAACTCGAACAGTGTTTTGTATTAGATTAAATAGAAGATTTATAAAGAAATAAAAAAAATATATTGCATACAATTTGTTTTATTTAATTTTATAACGTTTCACATAGTTACATACACACAAAATGCATTACACATAACACATAAAATCTAACACACAACACATATTATAACCTTAACTACTATAGTCTACAGTAACATTTCTGTTTTTATCTATCTCAATAATATTATCAAACTCAGCATAAACTATACAGTTAATTGTTTGTATTAATGAGGATTCAAATCGTACTTCTATTCTTACACTACCATGCTTTATGAGATTCCAATGAGTTGATGAGTTAGCTGATAAATCAGGAGTTAAGTCAAATGCTAATAGACAGTAACCTTTGCCATACTGTTCACAAGAGATTCCATTTCCTTCATTAAGAAAGTGAATACCAGTTCCCGAGAATAGAGTATGATATGCTGATGTAAATATGCTATTATTAAAAGATGGTTGCAAAGCTTTTGAAGGTATTTGTTGACCATCAATATATAAGCTGAAAGAATTAATACCATAGTTTTCAAAGTTAAATGGATTTTTAGTAAGGGAACCATTAAATGCAGAATTGTTCACAAATCCAATTATACATCTTTTCGGTACCTGTCCTAAAAATATATTATCAAGAGTTTTTCCTTGAACACCTGAAGGAATTGTTAAAACTTTTACTTCAGCTCGAGTAATAGGATATTTAGCAGTGGTAGAAGCTAAAACTTTTTGATGTGCGAGTAATACACTTGGATTAATTCGTGCTCGTCGCACAATAAGAGTTGCGTCCGTAATGCAAACTTTAAACTTTACATCGTTCGACCCAACAATTAAATTAAAACTCTCTCTTGATCGAACCAATTTAACACTCATGTCAACACCATTAATTAAAAATTTATCTTGGTTAAAAATGTCACCGTGAAGATGACCAATCATTTCTATTTCCTTACTTTCACTAATCAATTCCTGTCTTTTAACAAATCCTATGTTTTTACCATCTGTAGAATCCATTTTTCCTGCTGTATCCTCATACCAAAGACTACAAGTAAGATGAGATTGTTTAGCAGCAGGGGCATAGTTTAAAAGGGTTTCCATGTATGCTCGATATGCATAGGTATTATTAGGTGGTGATACAAGTTTTTGGTTTAAATAAACATCAAGTTGACTAAAAAGTGAATGCAGCCAATTATTTACAGGTGCTACTATTGTAGTAGATACCAAGTTAGTTGAATCTTGATTTAATACTTTTGCCTTTATGTGGAGTAATGTATGAGACAAATCTATGTAGTCATCGCCGGTCCCAGGAACTTGAAACTCGATAGGTCCATCATCACCAAGAGATGAAATTGGTTTATAATGAATCCACAATCCATTTTCAATGCTAGTTTGTGTAGACGGTAGTGCAAACAAATCCAATTCTGACTTAACGCACTCGCAAGAATGATTATGAAGGAAAGACATATTTAGTTTGAAAATATATCTTTGATATTTTTTGGTTTTAGACTAAGTTTTTTCGCAGCTTTCACTTTAGCAGTTAATGGTGGAATGAACGATGTCAATCGTTTTCTTTTAGTTTTATACCCAGATCCAGTCATGTTAAATTGATCAATTTTCTCATCAGCCTTTCGTTTTAAATTCGTACTAACTTGCTTTAGACGATCTTTTATTGAGGCTTCCATAGGACAGGCTTGAACCATATCTGATAAAAGTCCTACTCCAGCGCTTAATGCCTCCTTACCAATCACTCGAGCACCACTTGAAAGTAAAGGTAAAACTGATCTGAATAACCCCCCTAAGAAGCTCCCAATACCATGACCGCGTTGATATGGTGAACCCTTATAAATTACTCCAACTCCTGATCCAGCTTGATGTGTATAATAATTTTCATATGGACATTTATGATGATCACGAAGAGAATTCATTATTATAATTTTCGGAAATGTAGTTTAATACACACGGTTCCAAACTGGAATGGTATTTTTTGTCCTGTACTCGATCTTATAACTATTTCCAACGTATCGAACTCTCTTCGCATAACAGGTAAGTAGTGAGGTTGAGAGAAAACGTGCATTTTATTTGCACCATAAATGTATTTTGTAGGATCTAATGAAATGACTCTTAATAACGGAGTCATAACATCACCCACAATCTGAGGATCGATAATATCGCAATATAGAAATAGTTGAGATGGTAACCCTAAGTGTAAATTAGCAGGACACTTTCCAAAATTTCTCTCTAGGAGATTTTTATTTGGTTCATAACCTAGCTGTAAACTTAATTTGGGTGATAATGTTACGGATGTTATATTTTTATCCAATACCGAAATAGACACAAATTTTGTTATTTCATCATAGCGAAATTTCAAGTTCTCTCCGATACCATTTAACACTCTTAAAATATGCTCAACGTTATCATAGTTGGTAGCTGGAATATGTTTTTTGTAGTACACTGTGGATGGCTTATCTTCATTAGGCATTAACATAGATTTTGTAATGTATATAACATTTTCATGGTCTTGAACAGTAAACATGGTACATGGATATTGAAACTCGACAACTCCAACCGACCATTCACCTTCTAATTTTATAGGTTTTGGTAATTTCGTTGAAAAATTTGTGGTCTTGTTATCAGGAAAGTATTCCATTGAACTATTGCTGAGCAAAGTTAAATAGAAACTTTCTTTATTCATATTTCTTTTAAACTAGAAGCTAAAATCCAACTGTTAAATTTATCTGGATAACCTTTCCACTTCACTAATACTTCTTTTCTGTTACCTGAATAACGAGTGTCAATGATTTTATCTATTTTATGTTGTGAGGTGGGGTTGTAAGTGATTTTCTGTAATTCTCTTTCATAAAAAGTACCAATTATTGGTTCATTTTGTAAATCTGTTATTGTATAAACAACCCATGGAGATCTATCAATTATTGAAGATATAATAAATATTTCATCACTCCAATTTGATTCATATCCTTTTTGGAATACATGTTTATATTTAGTTATTCGAACATAATCACCCACATTGAAATTTGGTTTAGGATTTTCTAAAGAAAGTTTTTTTGACCGTCTGTCATAAAGATTAGTCCAAACTGTCATAATATTGTTGGAATTTACATCACATGGGCACATCTTAATACTAGAGTGAAAGCTGTGATTATAAGAGTATATTAAATCTTGTAAAACATCTATATATCTATAAGTATTATTATGAGTGAAATAACGCCACATTTTCATTTTTAGTGTTCTTTGAAATCGTTCAACAATACTGGCCTTAATGTCAGGATTGATAGTGGTATAGTAATTAATCTTTTTGGATTTAAAGTATTTTTGTACATCTTTTGAAACAAATTCGGTACCTTTATCGGATTGTATGTGAGTAGGTGTTAAATTACTTTCAGTAAATATACTTTCAAAACATTCTTTAGTTGTTTCTGAGTTTTTCTTTTTCATTGGTCTTGCAAAAGCATATTTACTAAATACATCAATAATACAAAGTATATACTTGAAACCATCATTATATTGAGAATAAGTTCGCATATCACTTAAATCAGCTTGCCACAGTTCATTAATATTTGATAGAATGTACCTATTACGCGGGAATTTTTTTCGAATGGGTTTATGTAATGTGTATGTTTCTTGTGATTTTAACCATTCCTTTACTTGCTTTTTATTCATTTTACCCTTCATGGCTTTTGATAATTTATCAATACTACCAAAACCAGCGGGATTAGATGGATCATAATAAATCCTGTTAATTTCTTCTAGTACGGAGTCCATTTTTCCCACTCAAGTCCTTTACGTATTTTAGTTGTAGACTTTTTATCTCTACTGCACGGTGTAGAAAACTCTTGAACTTCAATCTCAGAGGGTTTGTTCAGATCTTTTGCTTGAAGTTGGTTAATAAACTCACATCTCCTTGGATTTCCAATATAAGTAAGTGGTACTTTAATATCTTTTAATGCTTCAGCAAATCTAACCCACCCTACCGGATCACTTCTTTTTAGGGGTCTTAGTGAATCATTTATTAAATCAACAATATTACTTCCAGGAATTTTTTCACTATCAATTATGACTGTACCTTCGTTATCCCAATGTATTTTACTTTTACTTGTTTCAACTAAGTTTAATAATAACTGCCCTTTTTTATGATAAGTTTTTGGTATTAAACTGAGTATTTGAGCTGGTGTGTAAAGTGGATTTTCATCATTTTCTTTACTTTTAATGGATCGATTCTCCTCCAGCAAAGATTCAATATCAACTGAAGTTTTTAGATCTCTATCTTTATTTTTAAAACCAATTTTTGACTCATTTGAATCTTCATTAGATGTATCAGAATAAATTGGTAATTTGAGTGGTTGACGATCCTCTTCGGTAAAATGAAGGTATCTTTGCAGTGTTTGTAAATATAATATCCATTTCTTTCGGTCTTCCGTCTTACTATTCATAATATTTTGCATTTCAATATCTAATCGAGATAAATTACTATTAACCTTATTTTCTTGTTTTAATTTTTCAATCAATCCAGGTTCGATAAGTATCATTTTCTTTGCATTTTCCATGTTAACTGGCTAGTCCACTCACTAATCCACTCAATATTGCACCTAATATTGTTGGTAAGAAAGCCCCTCCTTTTTGTATAATTATATTTTTTCTTAGTTTATGTTTACACTTACGTACTAGTTTACGGAGTATGTTTTTATGTTTATTCAATTTTTGTTTATCCTGATCTTTAAGAGGTACTTTTCCTTGTAAAACGTTATGAATACACTCACAAATACAGTTAATTTCTTCTTCATCACACGTTTTAAGTAATGCTCTTTGATATTTTGGTTTAAGCGTATGCAAAGCGGTTAGCAAATGTTTATACGTTGTGAGTCGACGATGCATCATTTAGCAATGATTTCAATTGTTTGATTCTTGGTGTATTTAAACTCTTTTGTGGGGACGTAGACTGTACAGAAACCATTAAATGGAAAGACATTTGTCTTGATACGACAAAAATCATTGGTATTCTGTTTTAAATCTACCATTAAATATCCATGCGCCTCTAGAGTTGCATCCCTGTAGGCATTTTCAATGAATTTTGGGTTATCTGGTGATACTTGTCTTGCTAAATATCTTATTTGAGTTTTATCTCGAGGGTTTTTAAAATATATTATATAACTTGAGTTTAAAGATATGTCTCTTTGTCCTTTACCCTGATGAAATAAATTTTGTGTTAGATAAAATACACTAAGATTCCTGTGATGACTACCTTTTGTAAATATATCCACAATTCTTCCATCGGACTCTCTCATTAGATCATCAATAATAACAAGATGTGGGTTTTCACCATCAAACATATTAAGATTTGGAATTCCTTGATGATATTTAACATTTGGTAAATTATATAATGGTTGCATTTCATCAAAGCACCATGTGATCTGATTAAAATCACAATTACATATTTCTGTAACTGATTTTATGAAATTTGTTACAAAATTTGACTTCCCACACCCACTTGGTCCTGCCACAATAGCAGTGAACGGATGGATAAAGTGAAACATAACACACGTCTAAAGTTCAAAGGGGTGAAATAAAAAATGAAAGTGTTGGTGTAAACAATTAATATATATTCCAAAAATTATATAAAACAGAATTATCTGTATACTATTTCTAACACAATTAGTACATCATAATTTTACAATTAACTCAACCTCAAATAAATAGAAACAACAATTAGTACATCATAATTTTACAATTAACTCAACTTCAAATAAATAGAAACAACAATTAGTACATCATAATTTTACAATTAACTCAACCTCAAATAAATAGAAACAACAATTAACTTAAATTATTTACAATAAAACAATGTTTAAATATGTAATAAACTACGTCATATTATAGTATTATCATAATTTTACAATCAATATAAATTTTTCTTAAACGCAGACATAAAAGTAAAAACTATCAACACTTAACGCAGTTTATAATGACCCCAAGCTAATGTTTCAATATTATTATCTAAAATATGTCTCTTTGTGTCATTATATGATAAACCTATCTTATTTAATTTTTGTGTGAAAATTGTGTGTTTAATTGATTTAAATCTAAGCATACTATAATATTGCACTTTTTTATTAAATAGAGAAGACTTATAACTATTCATTGTCATCTTTTTAGTGATACATTTATTTACCCCTTTTGCCTTGGCTATAGTCTTATTCTCTAAGTTAAAAGCGTACATTTTGGATCGTAAACCCACAAATTCTTTCATGATTTTACCATTATTTTCATCTTTAAAAAAACCTAATTTCTTTTTATTTAATTTTGGATATTCAAAAATATTATTTGTATCATAATCTGAGGTATCAAAGTATGATGAAAGGTCAGGTTTTATATCAGTGTAAAAATCATTTGTAAATATATGATATATTAAACTATCCGTATCTGTATACAATAATTTGATTTTACTAAAC